TCTCTGGAATGATGTAAAAACGAGCGTTCTTGCTCATTTTGCTTCCGAGAAACATGCAAAACGGGACGGAAAACATGAAATTTTGCAATAATCTTTCGCCACCCTTGCACAAAACAACGATCATTTTTCTAATTTAATAGATAACAGAAGACTGTATTTTTTCTACATAACCCCCTGACTTTAAAGCTGGATCCGCCCCTGATTTAGCCCTAAATAGACTTCTTTAAAGTTGATTTAAGCCGCATTCTTCAAATTAGCGTCTTTTCGGCGTCGTTTCACCTCGACGTCCTGTGTTACTATGCATGTTAAATTCCTATACTTTATACATTAGTGTGTTTTTTTCTCAATGTGGAAAATTCTAATGTGAATTTTGGAAAAGTAACGTATTATTGTCCAAGTATGTCAAGGCGACTTCTCGAACAAAATAATCGAAACCACAAAAAAAAATTAAATACCCCTGGTGGGACTCGAACCCACAATCCCCTGCTTAGGAGGCAGATGCCTTATCCATTAGGCCACAGGGGCTCGTTAGTTACTATCGTTCTTAACCGACACATTTCAATGTAGATCAGTGATTTTCAAGCTATCATGGCCCTCCTTCTACTTGAAGTAATTTTGCGCCATAGATCACAAGCCCTATAATCAGTCATTTGTAATGGTGTAATCATTTGTAATACTTTGAATGGTAAATTTTCAAATTTCATTCGTCAGAGCCATCTGTACACTCAGTTCACACAGCCGAATAATCACAAAATATCCCCCCTGGGGTATGTTCTGTGCAAATAATCAGCCGATTTATGTCAACGTCAACGCGCTAAGAAAATTGGTATGTGGGTGAACACAGAACATCCCCTCTTTATTTTGGTTATTTTGTGGGTGAATGTTTTCCGTACTGACACCCATTTCTGGTTGTTTTACTATTTCAAGCTATTCACGAAAGTTCAATGAAAATGACTGGATTACCGGGAAAAAGTAAGCGATTTAGCACGACAACTACCCATTGTTAACGCTCAAATAGATTGGAATTACGTTACAGGGGTTCCGGAAACAGAGGACCAGCAGAGAATGCGGTTTCAGGTGGAACTCGAGTTTGTGCAGTGCTTGGGAAATCCCAACTACTTAAACTGTAAGTTATTACGAATCGAGCCCATTTTACCCTCCCGATAACTCGAGCAACCATTGAACCACGATAATGTTGACTTTGTTTTCAGTTCTCGCACAAAGAGGTTACTTCAAAGATCCCACCTTCATACATTACCTGAAGTACCTGATATACTGGAAGGAACCAGACTATGCAAAGTATCTGAAATACCCCATGTGTCTCTATTTTCTCGACCTGCTCCAGTACGAACACTTCCGCAGGGAGCTTGTGAATGCACAGTGCACCAAGTTTATAGATGACCAACAAATTCTGTTGTGGCAACACTATACCAGGAGAAGGAGCCGCCTCATGACAACAGCAGCTTCAAATGGAACCAGCCAGGATCAGAATCCCGGCAGTCAAGCCACCAATCCACAACAGAATGGGCATATAACTAGCTCTATGAAGATGACATAGAGGAACAGGCCAAAATCCTAATGGTCTTACGTGATAGCAGATGGCATCCTGAGTGCGTGAAATGCGTTTTGCGAGAAGTTACATTTGAACGAAATCTTCTGAAATGGCATTTTTCGCACATTTATACTACATAGTTTTAATTTACTATTCCCTATCAATTCAGAATAATTTTTCTTTCTGCACAATGAGCGTCGAGGAAGATACAATAGTTCACAACTTGTCAACTGATTCTGCTCGTATCATTGAACTTCCCAATTCGTTAACCCACATATCAATAACGGTATAATAATTGATATTCGCTACGCCGAGGCTCTTCTTGTTTGGCATACCTTCGTTTACGAATCGGTTCTCTACTCACAGTCTAACATTGCGACCAGAAGGTATGCCTTTGCTTCAGCCACTAGAATGTCCTCATTCCATATTCCTTTTAGGACATATTGCGACTACGGGATAATGTACAAACTATGATTTGAGGCCACTTTGTGTCAAATTGCGGTATTAATACAAATCGTCAGAGGGCTTCTGCTGGCATTTGGCCCCATCAAGCGAAACATGTTCTACGTGCGTAATAGTAAGAACTTCACTGTGCTTATCCTAATATTAGGTCTATTAAACTCGTATGAGGCAAGGAAATCCGGATCTGCAAAGGGCATGCAGTTGAGACAGAAAGAAACGAATGCTGTCAACTTTATAAGGTGAGCGCCGTTTAATAGTGATTCATGGGGACACCAACATAATTATTTTCTGCATTGTAAAACTTAAATGCATCTTCTAGGTCCAATTTACAATATTTGTGGCAATATCAATTTTAGATTAGCCGTGATGAGACTGATTTACGGAGTGGCCACCAGAGTAGGACTAGGAGAACAAATTTCTGAGGCGTTAAATGGGGCGTTTGTCCCCCCAGGAGTGGACGAGTATGATGACTACGGCGATGATGGCCTATTTAGCAGAGGCGACGACTATGACTATTAAGTGTTTGTTTAAAAGATGTATCGCAAAATAGTAGTTATGAAACAGAACGGAGTCAAGCTCAATTTGAACCTAAGCAATTACATGGGCGTCTGACGCGTCGTATGTAAAATCAACGTTTTCGTAGCAGCCTGTAAAGTTTCGGACAATATCACCCCATAAAAACGTTCGTTTACATTTGGGGCAATTCCCTTGAATCGGTACGTACTCTCCAATCACCAGGAAATGCTTTGAGAGACAAATCAAATGGCATCTTATGTTACATTCTTTGTTTAAACATGTCACCTGCTTGGCACTGCTCAAAACTCCAAAGCACAAGTCACACGTTGAATTGGCGGTTCCTGACTCTACTGGAATGCAATCCCTAAACCTCGATTGGACGTGTGCTCCTCGGCAAACCAGCATGTGTGGTGGAAGCTTTTTCCCAGGCTAGAAGCTCTTTGTGGTTATCAAATGTACTAAAAACGAACTACCTGGAAGTACTCACCAGAAAATCTGTAGCCAAAGCATTATTGAGCCAGCGGATGGTTAACGGCAGGCGCTGCCATGGCCCCACTTGCAACATTTGCCCCAATACGGTCAAATAGAAATCAAACGACTTTTCTCTGGATTTTTTCTTGGCCACATGTTGCAATCGCCTTGATTTTTGTGAGTGTTGCCAAGCCCATTCAAACTGCAGATTACCCCCGCGTCAAATTATCAGCACAAATTGTGCAGCTACCTACCTTGAGCGCAGAGATCTCGTCCAGAAATCCGTGTACAATCAGCACCATGGTCCTGTAATTGCTCAATTTATTATGCCGGCGAATAAATTGCTTCGTTCACATACCAAGGCCCTCGTTGGCTGGTCCGATACGCGCCCCCATATTGCTTCCCTTTATTATGCTTTACTATTCTGCGATTGGGGTCAACTGTATACCCTATGTAGCAACGTCCAAGATATTTTGGATTTTCGCAATACAGCAAATACACTCCATGAAAAGCTGTCGTCATCTTGAACTACGAAAAAACGACGAAAATAAGCTCTCCATTCTATGAACCTGATTTTGATTTTCTTCAACTCAAATTTGACGTTAACGTTGATAAACATTCAGATTTTTGTTGTTAAAGGTTGCGTTCACAGATTATAAAACTATGGTTATGGTTGCGTTCTACTCATAGAGTAAGTAAAATACTTTCTCTATGGTTCTACTCTCCGATATCAAACACGAAATCGTTGTCTTCTCCAGAGACACGTACTTGTCTCTGTCTTCTCTTCTGGTTAACGGCTTTGGTTCGAGACACGTTATGATTTTAGAATATTAGTTAGGTTATAAAAACGTAAACAAGCTCTTGTTTAACTTGTTCAAATTAGGCTGAAAAAGTGTTTAGCAGTTACCTGAAAAGGATCAGCTTCAGATGGGAAAGGTCCCATTGAGGTGCAGAGTATGCTGGGTGAGGGAAAAAAAGCAGAGGATGGTTCCCGTAACAGATCCTTGTGCAGAGGGGCCCCGATCAATTAGAGACGCAATTCTGTTGTGTGTACCAACCTCGGTAAGTTTTGCGCAATGAAGGTAAAGCTTGCTTAATATAATGTTGAAATGGTGCTTTGTAGACTATTAAAGAGGACGATTTCATATGTAAAGTTTGTTTCGAGCAGTTGACTCCTGCCTTCCAATTTGTGGCTCTGTGCCTGGAAACCGAGAAGCTTTTAGAGCAGGAAAAAAGCAAGAAAGCCGGCCTTCCAAACATAATACAGGGTTCTGAAGAGAATCATGATAATGATGAAGGCGATTTGAACCCTTGTTCTGCGGAGCATTCTCCTGAGCCAAGCGAAGAGATTAGCGTGAATGGAATTGATGCAAACGCAAAAGCTCTAGAAACTCCATCGAAATTTGGCGAGTTATTGGATTTTGGCCTAGACAACTTGCGATATATATCTGTGCCAATTCAACCCAGTGAAAACTTAAAAACAGAACTGACTCGGACTGGAGTAAATATTGTCAATTTATCAAGCGATCCCACCAAAAAGAAACGGTTAATACTTCTAACGAGAGACTTGGACATGTTGTATAGAAATGGACCAGCACCGCATCCGAAGTAGGGTTTTCTTTTTTGAATTTTAAATGGATTGGTAACTGGGTGCTTTTCAGCTCATATCTAGAAAGAGAAGCTGATTCATCGAAGACGGTGTTCTCCTGTAGACATTGCCCAGCACAAATTGACGACGTTTATCGCTTTCGACAGCACTGTGTGACTTTTCACAAGAACAAAAGGGCTTTTTCTTGCCGTCGTTGTGGAAAAGAATTTTATAGTTTGTTTCTCAATTTAGGATTTTCGCAGTTTTTATCACTAAGTTACAATAACTTGCAGGTTACCAGCATCTACTTAACCATGAGAAAATGTTTGAGGGTGAAGACAAGTGCAGCTTTCAATGTGCAAGGTGTAAAAAGGTGTTCAAGTCTAAAGCGCAGCTTCAACGCCACCAAGAGGATGTGGCCGACGCGCCTTCTTGCAAGTTTTATAAATGCAATGTTTGCTTTGTTAAGTAAGTATTATTTATCCAGTTGCTTTGCAAGCTTGCTGATCGTTTTTGACTCCTTGTCCAGATTCAAATCGGAAGACTTTAAAAACCATTGCAAGGAGCACGCAAATTTCCTCTGCGTAAAATGTGGGAAGTGTCTGACATCGGCATGCAGTCTTTCTCAACACGAGATCAAATCCCATCCAATGGAAGCACATCCTACCGCCGAGTCTAGGGCCCAAGACTACATGTGTGAAAAATGCGGAAAGATTTTCCAGTCTTCTATAAAGCTTCGTTCGCACATAAGGGGTGCACATAAGGAGTTCAAATGTTTGCCCGTTAAAGAACCCGAATGGATGTTATTTCTAAACGCCGAATTTGTAGGTGGCGAGCTATTCATTTGCGACAAGTGCGCCCGCCCATTCACTTCCAAAAGATGTTTAACCCTACACTACAATTTGAAACATTCGACGAAAGCGGGTTCTGTGGGCGTTTCCAGGGCGTTCTTCTGCAATAAGTGTAATAAAGTGTGTCTTACCAAATCCGGATTGAAACATCACATGCGGTTTATACATCCGTTTAGCAACCCAGCCGCTGAAGACGCCAACAAGATCCACAGTTGTCCCGGGTGCCATGCTAGGTAAGCAATCTTCCGTTTGAGGGAAACAAAGCCAACACGTATTCTTCAGTTTTAGGACTGAATCGGAACTGCAGGAGCATCAGTCGATTTGCGTGGGACCTGCGGAAACTAACGAGCCGCTAACACGCCTCAATTCAAATAGTAATCAGCCTTGTTTTAAGTACGTTTTTCTTTAACTAAGCGAATATTTTGTTCTAGCCGCCTGCGTTTGCAGGATCTGTCATAAAATAGTGGGCAAGATCCATACTTTAAAGTTGCATTACAAGGTAAGTTCACTAGTGAGCCGATGTGAAATGGTTGGCAAAATAAACAAATGCGTTTTAGGGGCATCTGGGGCTGCGACAGTTCGCGTGTCACATTTGTGGTAGAAAAACACAGTCACACTTATCTCTAAGACGACACCTATTGAAGCATGCTAAATCCACTGACAAATTCAGGTGTGTAAGACGAAAAAAATTGTGTTCAAATCAGCGTTATATTCTGAGCTCTTGGTTGCAGTTGTAAGATTTGTCAGGTGTCCATGTCATCATTCGTCGAATTGGAAGAGCATATGGACAAATTGCACCTAAAAAAGAGGTACAAATGCAAATACTGCCCGCAAAAGTTTGGTTTAAGAATGTTGTGGCTAAGCCACGAAAGCATCGAACACGAAGAAATCAATGCTAAAAAAGAGAAGCTGTTGAAAATGCTGATGTCTCAACCAATTTTCTTGCGAGACCGCCGGTACGTAAACTCGGACCCCAGGGGTTCAACTAAAAAGCTGCGAATGGATGTCGATGAATTAGTGGATAAGCTGAAGACATCGGGTGAAATCATTGATGAAAATCAGCAGTTAGAAGCCGTGGTAGAGGAATCAAATTCCCAGAAGAACGAAGAGTTGTTTACAGAGGAGCAGTACGCCTGTGAAGTCCTACAAAGATATAACTTAATGGAATAGTTACGGCTGAAAGGGGTACTTTAATTTTAACATTTGTCATTTATTTTTTTCTGCAACAAATATATCGACAGCGTTTTGAACTACCAACAAACAACCACTTCAATCACGCCTCCAATTTCTCTGATTTTTCCACGTTTCAAACGTGGACTGTCTCGCTTTCTTAAATCTAAACTATATTGTCAAGTATAATAACACCCAACTATAGTATGTATAAATCGGTTAAATTAAGGTTCCGTTTCCTCAGCATTCGTATTGATAATACTCTCCTCGAGGTTATCGCGGCGGCTTCGTCGGGCGAACACTGCATTCAGGTAGCCATAAGTGGAAGTAAAAGTTATTCCATTGTAAAGGCACATGCCAGTGATTAGTAGCACAAAACCGAAAAGCTGCAAAAAAAACGGTGGAGATGGCGCGAAAAAGGTTGATGCCTGGTACTTACCTGAAGCCAGTGAAATGCTTGGCCGAAGAAAGCCAAGCTGAACACCCAAATAACGATTGTGCGGACGCTATCCAGAACCATTCGTGTAGTTGCCGACATTTCTTTAGTTACGCTAATGCCGGCAAAGTTGAAAAAGGCGATTGAAATTATCGTGCCTGCAAAGAACCACAAATGCAATGTTATTGGCGTTAGATTCGTTAATGAAAATTAGCGTTTCAAGTACCTAGTATGGCAAAAAATAACGGTATGCTGTTTCCGATCTGCACCAATGCGTCAATTGCGTCCTCTAGACGATCGCCTGAGCGTTGCGTTAACGGAGGAACGGCGTGAATGAAGTAGAAGGGGATCTGGAGAAGGGCCAGAGTGACGAAACCAAATAAACCTGCCAAACCAACGGTTAGATCTAAAGTTGGAACATAATGGAAAGTGATCAACTGCACCTTCCCAGCCTACGGCTTGTAGAGAAGGGATATTTTCGCCACGCACAAACTTCTCTTCGACCACCATTTGGACTGCCTGTATGATTTGAGCAATTACTATCAGCATGTCTCCAGTAATAACATCATTTTTGTTATGCTGCTGTTCGCCGTTCTGAGACACAAAGTCTGCCACTCCAACAACGGCTAAACCTACAACAAATGTATTGTTGCTAATGCTGTTGAGCCGATTTAAGTCCTGTGGTCTACCTATAATAACGAATCCAATCCCAGACCATTCCCTGCGTTCGAGATTTCGATTCAAAAAAGCTACGCTGAGAAGACCGACGAACACGATCACCGATCCTGCAATTCGCGTTAGTTACTGGCTGTTTTTCGATTAGCCAAACCAATTTTTACCTCTGAACATTTGAAAACTAGAGGCGAAAGTTAGATTCAGTCCGATGTACATGATGGAGGTGGCGGTCATGTCACAAATTGCAGGTATATACAGGATTAAGGGGTTGAAGTTGCGGTTTCCTTTAGTCAGTTCTGAAACGTCCTCAGTTCCATCCTGATTAAAGGTCAATTTATTATGGGTTTTACATTTTCACAACGGCTTAATTTTCGATCATTGGAGCTAGTGATTCATACTTTTTGATTAATTTATTAGCACATAGACTGATAAAGCTTGTGAACTTTGATGTTCAATTAAATCTCAACACATTACTCAAAACAGTTTGATTGATCATGGGATTCCTCATAAATTATCCAGATTTTTTGCATGAATCATTGCAAATGATAAAGAATTAACGACAATGACAAGTTAACTTACTGCCCTTCTGCTGTATATAATGTACAGGGTCTTGAATAGAACCAGGCACATCAGCTCACCCAAAAACATGGTGCTGGCCTGGAAGAATGGGTGATCGAAGTTCTTCAACTCACCATCTCTTCCAACCGATTTTATAGTATCAGCCCACCTGGAATCGAAATAATCTAATTGCTTTTGGCTAAACAGTTCAGCTAAAATGCAGATTCATCAAGAGTCTACGTACTTGGTACTGATTGTGTTTATGCTGCCAGTAAACACCATCAGGAGGGCCAAAAACACTTGGAATCGCGTCCAAGCCATGTCTGAACATTAAATCGAAAAACCAAATTGAAACGAGTTACTATGTGTTAAAACTGAACACTTTGATTCCTCTTTATCAAACAAAAATAAACATAGTTGACACTGACGACGATTGACAATGGTTGGCGTTGTCAACATAGATAAAGACAAGTAGGTTGTCAAGAGTCAGTTTGGTTGGACGGTTCTGACGCGTTGCCGCCAAACAATTAATTTAATCCTTTCAGCAGTTGCAAATTCGATTTACATAATGAAAAGAAAATAAAATGGATTTTTAATCCATAAATAATAATCCATAATAATAATAAATGAAAAGGGAAAATAAATTGCAACAGCAATGTTTATTAAACATATAAATAGTTATTACACAGGTGCTCGACGACTATTCACACAGAACTTAGATGGCTCAGATTTCTAAGGCCGCTAAAGCAGTAACCATCAGGTTAGCCTCAGAGTAACGTTTCTTTATTTCCTTCAGGGACCACTCGACTAGTTTGGCTGCTTCTTTCTTCCTCTGACTGGAGCACTTTGCAGAAGTAGACAAAGCTGACGAAGTCTAAAAAACTAATATTAGCAACAGTCAAACGTCTCAAGACGAAGTAAATTTCTACCAAATAGAGTCCATACAGAGCTCTCATGTTTTTAGGATTGATCTTCAAAGCTTGCGAATAGTAGGACCTGGCAGTCTCCAAATTCTCCAGGCCTCCTATGGTGTATTTAATATCAGCATATCTCTGATGCAACAAATGGTTGTGAGGGTTGTGAAGAATCAGCTCTTCCACGCAGAAAGCTGCTTTACTGAAATCCTGTTCAGAAATGTACAATTCGGCCAGCTCCTGCCAAGCCTCAACATCTGCCATAAATCTACAAAAAAAAACCATGAAAGGCCAGTTTGCTATTCAGATTGAGGGCGTTGTACATCTTCAAATAATCGGTGAGCTCCTTGATAGCATCAACAGTTCGCCCTTGGGCCTTTAAAACGGCAACTTTACGTTTTCTGGCTGCACTGTTGGTTTCGTCAGCTTTTATAATGCTGTTTAGAATGTCTGTAGCCGTGCCAAAATCCTCCTTAGCTTCGAAATACATGGCGTGCAATTTTCTCACTCTAAGACTGCTGGGAAATGATTGAGAAAGACTTTCGATGCAGGTCTCTGCTACATTGGGGATGTGACAGTCCAACGCAGCAAGGCAAACTTGCTCTAATACCAGAAACTCTGAAATTCAGTTCGCGATAAAATAGGGCACCTAGAGATACTGAAAAGGTTACTTTCATTGCCTAGACTGTTCACTTTCAGCCACAGTCCATTGAGCCAGATATCCAGAACTTCTCTGCTCTTTCGATCATTGTTTTCTCGCCAGTATCGCAACTGTTCAACATCGCCTGAAAGTTACACATGTTTAGACACAGCCAGTATCTGGAATAAGGATTAATTCGTACTTTTTTGAGCCCCCATTAGTGCAGGATTCTCTTTTTATTCGAAATTACTTAATTAGAATAAATTAAACAACGTGAATTGTGGGTTAGAATTAATATGATGACATTTTACTGTAGCTGGGCCGACCTCTATGAATTCGTTCTTACAATCAGCAGAAACCGGAAGATGGAAGGTGTAATATTGTCAGCGACGTCAAGTATGCCAGTCATACTTGCACATGCCAGTCATAGATGAAGACAACTACACAGATCTCAGAGGTTAACTCTGTAATCTGTGGACAAGCAGAGACTCGAAAGAACAAAATATATCCGCCATAGAGTAAGTAAAATAAGTAATTATTTTACTTTACCCCCGTGATCGTGAACGCTCAAAAAATCGTTAAAGTGTGCCGAAAATGTCTATTATTTCAGATTTGAAACTTCTACCAGGCTTTTTAATGAGTTCGATTCGAAAATGACGTAAAATTTGAGGCATTTTGAGAAAATTTTCAATTTTTCAAAAAATCGACCCCCGCCCTTGTAAAAATGTCGGCCAAAAAACAAAGTTTTACTCACACCCATTCGTCAATAATTCATTTCTTTCACAAGGAATATTTTCCGCATAAAATCAGTACTTTTCCACTTTCGAAGAAATTAACAACCTTCGTTGCCTAGAAACCGTCCCTGGTGACATGCACAAAATATCCCCCCAAAATATACGGGGTAAGTTCTGTGGTGACATGTTTTTCCGGATACACATGGGGCACATGTAAAATTTTGTCGCGATTTCCCTCAATTGTCTATCTATGATTTCGCTTTCAATCCATAGAGAAAGTGAAATAATTATTTTACTTACTCTATGTCCCAACCTCTGTACATCTCCTTTTGTGATCTGCAACTCTTGAACTCTTTTATATAGAAATAACTCTCGGATGCAAAGACATTAATTTGTGTGTACATTAAACTGCGATTCAATATATAAATCAGTTGAAATCAATTAAGAAAAATGCATTTTGTTAGGGGAATGTAAGTGAGAGGCAGCTGTTCGCTCTATTTTATTAGGTTAATCTCTGAGTTAACCTTTATGTGTTCTTGAAAGTGCAAAGAGTTATTTATAGTTAGTTAGATTTCTATTGTGGCTCACGAGTTGATGACTGTGACTGTGAAGCTACGAAAAACTATGGCCAAAGAAGAAGAATACGATAAGTTGCCTGATAAAGATGCTGCGAAAGAGTTCTATGCCAAATATGAGCCCAAAGAGATACTGGGAAGGTATGTTTACATTTGTTGGACTGCAGTCCAAACTGATAATCACGCCTTGTGCCTGTGTTTCTGCAGGGGAATATCTTCCACAGTGAGACGATGCATTGAGAAGGAAACGGGCAAGGAATACGCAGCCAAAATTATAGATTTAAGCAATGATGATTCATCAGTGGAAGCCACCCATCAGGAAGTAAACATCTTGAGGATGGTCGCTGGCCATCCCTATATAAGTAAAAAGTCCATGGCATGCGGAGGTTTCCCCTTGAAACGCAATTTCTTGTAGTTGAGCTACAAGACGTGTTTGAATCCAGCACATTTATCTTCTTAGTATTCGAGCTGTGCAAACATGGAGAGCTATTCGACTATCTAACTTCAGTGGTAACGATGAGCGAGAAAAAGACTCGCTATATTATGCGGCAAGTGTTTGAAGGTGTGCTGCACATCCACTCTAGAGGCGTTGTTCACAGGTAGGTATGCGATAAGAACTCATGTTGAACCCATTTTATTGGTGTTGATGTTTCTTCCAGAGATCTAAAGCCAGAAAATATACTATTAGACGACAATTTGAATGTTAAAGTAACTGATTTCGGATTTGCAAAAGTGCTGAAGAAAGGCGAACTTTTGCATGGTAATTTTCAGAACCCTTTAATCTAATTACAATACTTGTTGTACATGCTCTGTGAGTAGCTGTAACTAAGAACTTTTTCCTTTGTCAGACTTGTGCGGCACCCCGGGATATCTGGCTCCTGAGACCCTAAAAACGAATATGTTTGATGACGCTCCCGGTTACTCGTTTGATGTAGACGTGTAAGTACGTTAGTGAATTTTCAAAAACGACACGTAAAGAACTTTTCTTCTAGGTGGGCTTGTGGCGTCATCATGTACACTTTGTAAGTAGCGCAAGATAATGTTTCAAGTTCATCTTCACGTTTTCTGCCCTATAGATTGGTGGGTTGCCCTCCGTTTTGGCACCGAAAGCAAATGGTGATGTTACGCAATATAATGGAGGGAAAATACTCGTTTAGTTCGCCAGAGTGGGCCGATATTTCCGGTAATCAAACCCATTTTTTTCTAATGTTGGATACAGTTTCATTTCATAATCAGAATCACCAAAGGATTTGATAAGAAAGTTACTAGTAGTGGACCCGAAGCAAAGAATAGGCATCAAAGAAGCGTTAACCCATGAATTCTTTCAGGCAGTGGTAAGTAGATCGGATTAGCGTATTTTTCAGTTGATTTTGTCATACATACTTTGACTACTTTGTTCGTATTTAGAAACTTGAGACAGTTTGCCCGGATACTAGTTTAAATATTGTTGTAAGTACTTCAGTTTCACATCAAAATCGGGCTTTTTCCACTTAAATGTGCAGCTCACTGTTATTTGTGCAAAACTGCACAATTGTTGCAGTTTTAAATTCGGCACTTGGGCTGCTTGTATGTGGTTTATTTGTACTGGTTCTTTTGTCGATTATATTTTTTGTTAATTTGATCCAGCAACTGTGGGATCAAGACATCTCCACGCTGAAAAAGTCTCTACGCAGAGATTCCCGCAGGATGACAATAATTTCAGAGTTGGCTTTGGTAATACATGTTGTATTTAACATTAACCCGACGTGGTTTTTCGATTTGGTTTGGACATTAACACCTTAAACAATGTCAATATAATGGCTCCGTTGCGCTTTTGTATTAGTCCCCGTATTAGTCGTTGATTGTTATGTTGAATTTAAAGGCTAGAAGTGTTCTGGCTGTTCATTGGGTAATTTCCTTTCTTAGAAACTGCAAGCGAGCCACTTTGATGCGCGCAGAAAATTCAAGTTGGCCATTATGTTTGTGCGAGCGATGATCCGAATCCAACGACTTCGATTCACTCCAGAGCCCCTTTCATTGGAGGCCGCGAGAGGCGATCCATATAGGATCAAGATACTTAGAAAAGTGAGTAGCCACTTCAGCAGCAATGCTGAACAATAATGAGTTTCCGATATTTATTTGCAGATTGTAGATGGGTGTGCGTTTCGCGTGTATGGCCACTGGGTGAAAAAGGGCGAAGGACAAAATCGAGCGGCTCTATTCGAAAACGCCCCTAAAACCGATCTCAAACATATATACCTCGCAAATCTTAGTCGATAGTTTTTAATTTTAGATAGTTCCTCGTTGTTAGAATTGATTAATTCACTTTTTTGTATTAGTTTCGTAGTGGCATTGCAGTTAAGGCACTCTAAATGCCTTATACTGTGTAAGGAGCCCTGCGTGCCGCAATGTAAGTGAATTACAAAGTTTTCGGAAAAACTTTCCTTGCCAATGTACTGGGTAAACCTTAGCTAGACAAACATGTGTTATTTAAATATTAAAAAACTAATGAGCACTTTCTATCCATTATAAATTTGACCCAACAATCATTTTCTGCATGTAAAAAATGGGAAATTATTTTGTAGCTGCAAATGTTTGGCTTTGTGCTCAATGACGTAGTCGCCGGTTTTCCTCGTACATCTGCTGCGAACGTTCTCTGCAACGGAACGCATCAAATTCGCTGCCAAATGAAAATGGACATTGACACTGATTGACACGTTTGTCAGTTGTGCTTTATCATCGATGTCGTATATTTATCCAAAAATAATAGCAGGGTGAATTGGCCGAAATAGCCGCAGAGTCGTTTAGCTTTTTATTTGAGACTGTTTAGATTAATTTACGGTGGAAACATGAAAGTAACGCTTAAGAACTTGCAGCAGCAAAGCTTCGTAGTGGATATAGATTCTAATCAAACAGTAAGTCCACTTTTGCAGATTAAAAAGCGTTCTATTGAGGACCCCTGTGATGTGCCACTCTTTTGGTTTGTAGGTTAAGCAGCTCAAACAGAAAATTGAGGCAGAAAAGGGAGCAGACTATGCTTCAGAGAACCAAAGACTAATCTATGCAGGTATGAAGATGGTATTCCTTTTGTTACTGCTACTAGATTTGTCTGGTTATGAGAAAAACCTTTCGCTCGAATTTTATGGTGTCTAATTGAGCTTTAATTCCAGGAAAAATTCTAACAGACGAAACTGCGTTGTCCGAATACAACATTGATGAGAAAAAATTTGTGGTTGTGATGGTAACTAAGGCAAAAACCACAGAGAAAACCGAGTCTGGAGATGGAACAAAAGCACCTTCGACCATGTAAGTATCTGTAACAACGACTAACTTAATTCACTTAAATATGCTCTTTTCAGAGGTACTGCAACCCCAGAAGTGCCAGCTACTCCTCCAGTAACCGCTACTACGCCGGTAACTTCAGCTCCTCCAGCCTCTAGTGTTGCGGAATCAGCTGCACCAATTGCTTCCTCTCTTAGTAGCGCTGCCGAATCAACGCTACTAATGGGTGAAGAATATGAAAATATGGTCAAAAATATCATGGATATGGGATATGCTCGAGATCAGGTAGAAGTTTTCCACCTTAAGAGTATAGTTTGTGAAGAATAATCCATGCTTCTGCACTCAATAGGTCGAATCGGCGCTCAGAGCTAGTTTTAACAATCCTGACCGAGCTGTTGAATATTTGATTACTGGAATTCCTCAAATATTCGAAGCTGAGGCAAGTCAACTACTAGTTTTGGCGTTTTTTTCCAAACGAAAATGTACTCTCGTTTAGGTGAACGAGACCACGGACATGTCTGGAGTGGATCAAAGCCAGTCTGACGCCGAAGATCCGCTGGCGTTTCTCAGAACCCAGTCGCAGTTCCAGCAAATGCGGCAAGTGATTCAGCAAAACCCCCAGCTGCTTAACGCTGTTTTACAACAGATTGGGCAGACCAATCCGGCCTTATTACGACTGATCTCCGAAAACCAGGAGTCTTTTGTGAGGTAATTGCGATAGATGATGACTTGATAAAGTTTGGAACTGTAAGGATGTGTGTTGCTTTAGGATGTTGAATGAGCCGGCTCCAGGAGCGGCGTCCTCCAACTCAGTTCCGGTTGGATCAACGCAGCCAGCCGAAAGCGTTGCAACCCCCGCAGTAGGCAGTGGCGGGGGCGGCGGCGGTGTCGGAATTCAGGTCAGTGGTTTCTGTCGATATTTTTCTCGGTTTTACGTCTGGTTTTCCGGTAGATTACTCCGCAAGATAAAGACGCAATTGATCGATTGAAAGCACTTGGTTTCCCTGAGCAGTTGGTTATACAGGTACATTTTGAATTGTCTAGTGATTGGTAGCTTCTAGTAGTTTAACTGGCTCGTTTATTTTCAGGCTTATTTTGCCTGCGAGAAAAACGAAAACCTAGCAGCGAATTTTCTTCTTTCGCAAAATTTCGACGAATAAACTTTGACACTTTCGCCTCTAGTCTTCTCCACGGAACACTGGATTTTAACCCCCCATCTCCTTGTCACCACGTACAGTTGTTCCTTTTTATAAATACCTAAGATTGGATAACAAATAGGGCCGACTATTATAATGTTACAGGTTTTCACACCGCACTACTATATGCCTACCTTGTAAATAACCTGTTCCAAACAGCTACCAGCTTTTTCTCAAACAAGCTATATCAAAATTGGGTTTGTCTTTGTAATATAGTTCTTATAAATATCTGCGTTAATATACTGGTTTGATATAGCGGTTAGTCGTATCTAAACTGTCCCTTAGTGTGTAAAGCTTAAATTCTGTAGCCATTGTGCAGGCTTCTTCGATTAAATATGCAGGGGGCTCCACTTGAAATAAAACAAATGAAAATATTCTTCTTTAACTTTATTTTTTGGCACAGTTTTGCTGCTACATATGTGTTTTGTTCGGTGCAATTGATTACAAATTAAAACGCCACAATAAATATAGACAGAAAGGCAATTCTACAAATGGGAGTAAAAAAGTCGTCTAAACCGAAGGAACGTTGAAATGCGTCCACGCGTGGCTAATTTAACGAATAAATAATAAGAATCTTATGCACTACTATTCGACTAGAATGGTATTTCCTCTAGTTTTCTTCCTAAAGTTTTAAAAGCCTTGGGAAAACGAAGGAAATATGCTATTCACTTTTCCTGCTTAACTGCTTTATCCCGATATAACTTTGCTAATTCTCAGCCCTCGTTAAAACGAACTCCCAGGAATATTGTTTGAAGTAATACTGAAACTAGTTTTGCGTGTAAATCCATTCCTTGAGATTCTAAAATTTGTCATTGTTCCCATTCAAAAAAACCAGCAACTATTCATTTTGCTAAAAACGCTGCTGCGTAACGACATCTCAAAAATACCCATGCTCCTTTGCGTATCTGATATGGATGTGGGGCCGGCTTTTTGTAAATTAAAAGATGTGGTAAAATTGTCCAGTCATCAAGTTTATATCGCCAGAGAGCAGCTGGTAAAGTTGGCCAATACTTTTAGCAGTACACTGGATCGCTAGTCGATGACAAAGCCATTTTCGAGAGGGTGGATAGACTACGCTTAGGAAAACTAGAACCGCCGCTGCTTTCGGAAAATATTTTCCGAAAACTGACAAAAATGGAAACGGTTAACGGCGCTTTTATCCAGATGCGAGATACTTACAACTTTCTTATTCCGGATTCAGACGCCTTTTTCCAAGGCGCGTCGTCCGGCTCGTAGGGCAGAGGACCTTGAACGGGTGCATCTTCGTCGACAGGGCTGTATAAACAAACTATATTACTAAATTTCCAAATATCCCGAAATCAATCAAATGAAACAACATTTAAAGGTTGTTGGTGTTATCCCGGTTTTGGTCAGTAGCCAAACTGATTTTATTTTAAACAACTCTATTGCCGCTTGAAAAAGCAAGAGCGATGGACTGTTGAACATCAACTTACTATGGGAGCGCCTCTTCGACAGGCGAAGGCATTTGATCAAAACTGTCTCTATAGCTTAAACTACCACTGAGCGAGCCCAAACTAAAAAGTCTACTTTTAAATCTACAAAAAAAGGAAAAAGAAAAATCACGCCTAAACCAAGCCGCGGAAACATACGTTTCAGTCTTCTTCTTCGGCCTGTAGGTCTCCAATTCGTCCTCCAAGTCGCTGACCCTGGCTTTCAACTCGTTCCTCTCGTGCAAAATGTCCTTTAGCTCCTGCGTAGTGAATCTGGGCCTATTTGGATCGTCCAAGTCGTAAATTGCTTTGTTTGCGGGAAAGGGGATGTCGCACTGATTGATACAGAAGTTATTAATCCGGGGTATGCGGTTTAGGGTTTAGTTACCATGACCAAGTCCTCGTTTTCTTTTTGGGCAAGTCCAAGTCGCTGCCTGAGCACATTGATGTCTCGCTGCTGGTCCTGCAACTGCACCAAAAAGTCCGCCCTTTCGTCGCACAGTGTCCTCACTTGGTTTTGCATTGATTTGTGTTTTCGTCTCAGTTCTTTGCTGGTTGTGGTCAATCGATCAATTTGTGACTTCAGCTAACATTTGTAAATTAGAACCAAATCACCCGCTAACAGTTAGTGTCTCACATTGTCGGCATCCAAGCACTTCTCCTGAATTAACTTCTCCTTTTCGCGAATTTCCTCCCGATGCTTCTCCAGGCTATCCTTCAGTTTTTGCAACATTTCAGCATCGTTTCCATCCGGGGGCGTTGTGGGCGACTGGTTGTTCGGGTTTTGCACCTTGACCAATTTGCGATTTTCCTCTTGCAGCTTGGCAACCATCGAAACGAGCTCTTTAGTTTCCGATCGCCACTGTTCCTCAATCGCCTCCAGTTCCTGCAACACATGAAGATTATACCGGCCGCCTTTCACTCGCATAATATGCTTGCCCTTTCAAACTTTTGCCTATACTCGGCCTTCTCCAGCTTGTCATTTTCCAGTTGGGAAACTTTCAGTTGCAATTCATTTAGCAGGGTGTTTTCTCGCTCATTTCGTGTTGCTAAGCTTTCCAGTAGTTCTAAGGCATTGATCACTTTGGGCATGAGGGACGTGACAGCGTCAGCTCCATATCTACAACACAGTTTGGCTATTATTTGAAGGTAAATTCTGAAATATAGGCAGAGGCAATTATTAGACTTTGTGTGGAAAAACTCCATTAGAACAGGTACCAAATTACAACGTCACTTTATAAGCAATTAAGAATCCTGACTCACTAAATCAGTGGGCGGAATGTTAATTCGCTGAACAGTTAAGATGCGTAAGACAACTGATTGGGGCTGAAGTATTCAGCTGAACAACCACCAGAGTTACACACGTCATTGGACAGCTTATCTGCTTGAGCCAGGACTCTGTATTTTCTTAACATTGTGCGATCATCGTGAAATTCTTAATATTAAACGTACCTATCGATGATTTTTTCGCATTCTTTGCCAATCACCGAGGCAATGTCGTACACGTCCACAACGGTTACATCGCCTGAAAAGTCGCTGACATCCTCCATTCTATCCAGTTGCAAAGAGTAATTTATTGGAGGCATTAAAATTTGCCACTCTTCAGCCTCCCCACTACAGATAGACCCTCAAAAATCTCAATTTACTCAACAATTTCGACTGTCCCAAATCATCTGTTTTGATCGATGAACATATGTCAGATGTCAGCCAAGCACTACATTGCCAGATTGTTAGCTCGTGAAGTCATAGCAGGTAATCAGACAAGACAACTATTTGTTAAATCCTCTCATGGTGATATATCCAATGCTTAATAATATATACTGAAAATAGTGTGAATTTTTTAAAACGGCATGCCAAAAGTATACTTGATATTCAACATTGCAAGATACATACGGCTCTTTTGCGCTAAAGCTGCCATTAAGTTAACAACAGGCAACAACGAGCTGAAGCCAGGACCCCATGACAGCTGACAGCTAGAAACAGTCAACAGTGAAAACATCCACACCTTAAGTGTTGTTTACATCTTCTATTTGAAAAACTAAGTGAATAAATGTACAAAAAGCACGATATGGCCGGAACTAGGTCCTTAACCGGTACCCCGAGTGTATATTCTCACGTTACAACTAGAAGTAGTGCTAATTTGAGAAGCAGCCGGAGTCTCAAGTCTTTGAAGACCCCTTGGTATCAAAAGCCCCTAGTGCAGCATGCCTTTTTCCTTGACGTGCAGAATGCTTCAATGATTGCAGCCATTTTCTCACTGGTAGAGCACCAAAGCATTGTAGAGGGTGTAGATATTAAGTTCATTGTTCTTGTAGCTGTTGTCACTCTTCACAATTGTAACGGCCTGTTTTGACTTGTATTGCTACGCCATGGCTGCTCCAGGTAGCACCCACTACGGGTACTATTTGATCTCTTACGAGTTTGTTTATGTGGGGTCCAGGCATGGTGAGAACTAACTGCCTGTTCTTTTGGTAAATGTGTTTCTTATATGTTTATGTTCTAGTGCGGAACACTCTGGTGATGTTTGCTGTGTTCTCCATGTTGCTGGCAATGGCTGTTTTAGTAACCAGCATTATGCTCATCATAGCACTGCGAAAAGTAATGCTGTTTAATTTGGAACGATTTCAGATACATTTAAAGTCGCTCACTCGGTTTCAGGAATATGAAAGGAAGATGCTCCCGTGGATTTACGTCTTTGGGGTGTTCACAGTTTTCCGCTTTCTGGCTTACTTGTTTTTCTCTATTGTCAACGACACGATTTTCGCCTACAACTACCTCATGTGCCTGCTAGGAACAATATTTTTTGTCTGCTCTGCATATGGGTGGGTGTTGGTGTACTCTCTGTACATTGAGCTTTCCGATTTGACCAAACTGGAGGATTTGGCACATTTACGGGTAAGTTTCCACTTCCATTTCCCTACTCGTTGCGGTTATAAATGTACCTACTTTCTGTCACTATCGTAAAGGAGTTGCAAAAGAGTACGTATTCTGCTCTTAGAGCCCTCCACCTAGTCTATCACTTGCCAATAGCAGTAGGCTAAAGCTTTTTATTTATCATACATGTCTTGCACTCCAGCCATTGGCAGACTTTCATTTCGGTAAGATCACCTTCATCTTCATCGTTTTGTCCCACTCTGTGGCTACCAACGAAAGGTAACTGAGCCGTTGGTTTTAGATGGGCACAATGCAATCGCTCAACGCCTCCACAGTCCCATCTCTAGCGGGCTCCCGGCCTACGACGCCCCACAGCACAGTATCGACAATGCCAGTATAACAACACCTTCCACAGCCCCTGTGCCCCTCGGAGAAAGTTTCAGTCAGACAAGCTCGTTCATTTCTCAACTGCCAAGTAGCGTTAGTAAATATACGATGTCGAGCTTGTCTGGGGGGCCGAGCTCGCATGAGTCGCAGGTAGCTGGGCCTGCTCAAGTCCGTTATTAAAGCGCCACTTTGTAGAGGTGACATTTTAGCACTGATAAGGGTTCACATCGGCAAACACTTGTTGGTCGCCGTGATTTCTCTTCGGGTCAGGGTCTGGGGTTAACTTTTAAATTGAACTGACTCAATAGTATATTTATTAATTAAGTTTTCCGATGTTTTGACCGAGTAAGTTTCTTTTATCCTTAGAAATCGTTCGAATCAGTGAATTGATTTAAAGTTGCATATTTTATCAATTATCTTTTGATAATGGCTGCTATTCTACAATCGATGTGCCTTTGAGTAGTGGAGTTCCCACAAAGGATTTGAGTAATGTCCATTTTACTTAGCTTAAGTAATTTTAAGTGTGATATAGGTATTACCATTCGTCATTCCGTCCAAAAACTGTTCTAATAGTAATTTTAGTTTCCTATACTTATATATATATTACAGTTTTGAACCATGCGAAACTTGTTTGTGAGCCGTTCCTTAACTGCCTGAATCATATTCCAATATCTCGAAAAAGGCCCCAACTTTCACTGCGACTCCCTTCTCAGATCGAATCTCATTTGGCATTTCCGACACTTCTTCTGCAAGCGATTGGTATTCCAAATCGTCAGCAAACTGTTGTTCAGCCACAATGTCCTCGTCTCTTTGTCCTAGCAGGAGTTTCTTTCGTTCAGTTAGCTGAGCAACTGCCAATTCAGCTTTCTGCAGCTGATCCCTCTGATCAATCGTCAGACCCTCCAGATGGCTGACTGTTTGATCCAAAGTCTTCAACACGCTGTAGGAATGTGGGTAGGCCGTTCTGGTTACCAAGTACTCCCCAGTATGGACCACAACTCCTGGCATATACAATTTTTTGCACAGGGGTATTAAGGCTGTGTGTTCAGGCTGTTTACTCAGTTCCTTTACCTGTTCCCTGGTTCCCTTGAGCGATTTAAGGGTGGCCTCGATTTCAGCTTGTAACTGCACATTTTTGGCAATATCTTTGTCGAGGAAGCTCAGAAAATCGCTCCTGTTACTCAAGAATGCATCGATTTGTTTATGCATATTACCAAGAATTTGACATTGCATCTCAATATTTGAGGTTAGAATTAAGCACAGGTCGCAGAGTAACCTCTGTGATCTGTGGAATTAACGGGGTTATTGCAAGTGCAGAAATCTGCATGGCCGAAGACAATTTAACGTAGTAGGGGGAGATGCGCCAATAGCGTTTGGGTAATTAAAGTTGGTGTGGGAGCGCCCTTACAGGGTATTCTTAAATAAGCGGTTTTTTTGGAAAAAGGGAACACTTTTCTGTTCAAATTTCTTCTACATGCTTTCCTTTTTGCGATACAGGCTGTCAAACATGTACTAACATTTTGACCGCAAATTAAAGCCCCAATTAGTTTTTTCCTTCGTTTATTGCTCTAAAGTTAACCGTTGCAGTGAAAAATCTCTAAAAATACCTTCAATCGATTTGAAAAGGGTGCGAAAAGTAGTTATTAACAGTTGCGATTGTCGTGCAAACAACAAAAAAAAATTGACTTTTGACGCCACGTCTTTCGAAAAGAAAAAACACGGAGAAAAAAACAGAAGAGAAAAAAGTGCAATTTTTTTTTCAGGCGGAATGCATAGCTTTTCGTTGCGACACTTACTTAGGACCACCCCCTATAAGAAGAAAGTAGGATAATAATTTATTTGAGATACTTAAAATGTTATGGTATTTAGGCAATAATTCAGGTTCGGTTCAATTCGTGAGTCGAAACAACACGCTTTGTCGCTATATTCTGAACGATCAGATTGAGGCAGTCTAGGCTTGAAGCTGTGATGCCTGACGATGATTCAGATCCTGGAAAAACGAAAAAACGTTTATTAAATTGAAGCTCATGATAAAGTCGTGCGAGAATAGTATTTATTTTCTAGTACATAAACAGTAGGAAATAGTGCTTCAAGCAATCTATAACTGGAAATTTGATACGTAAACGGCGCTCTAAACATTTTATTTATTGATCACAAAACACAATTTAGTGCGTCCTGCATCCGATGAAAATAGATTTTATTGCTGCTGTATTAAACATTAATATCAAATAACTGTAAATTTCGCTACTCAATGGGTCCGTAAAACGAGGACACTTTCAAAACGACGTCGCTCGCGCTCGTCTTTCAATAGGTCATATTTCCTTGTAAACAAGAAACTGGAGCCTTCTGGGTGTCAACTGTAATTGGCAGTTAGGACTTAAAAATATGGACATAACGTGGAATCTGAGCTGCACAAAATCTGCCACTCTTTGTTCAAGTTTATCTATTTATATGCGTGTTTTATTGGACTATGAAGTTCCGTTCTCTCGGCAACTTTTTGTTCAAAACCTTTGACAGTGGCCCACGTCTGTTACCAATATTGTACCGATAAAAAGAACAAATAAATAAGTATCAGAAATTAAATGGCCTTTGACAGGCAACATAATCGCGCAACTTCAACATGCGGATTACACAAAGTCCGCCGGCGTTATTTATAACCATTAAAACAGGGATTTCGCTGTTTTGATATCGTTTATTTTTGGAGATGCGACATTTATTTTGCCTTTTGCACCAGACGAAAGAAATAAAGAAAATTGACGGCAATAAATAAAGCGGGGTCACTTAGGGAAATGCCAGAAATAGTGCGGCGCAACCCCCCTCGGATCATTTCCATTAAGACATTCGGTAACCAAGTTGCAACAGCAGATGAAGAAATAAATAATTTAAGCAATCAAAAAATGGAAATACAGTTCCGGATATAACGAACTTGAAAAATGAACTAAAACTGGTTCGTTATATCCGGAGTTCGCTATAAGCGAATAATAATACAAAAACACGAGGTGTATTTTATTTCGTTATTTTTACATAGCGTAGTAAAAGTTAGTAGGTATGACTAAAAAGAACACAAAAAGATAAACAAAATACAATTTGAAATCTACTTCATAAAGTCTGTAATTTTTGTTTGTACATTTCTGCTGCAAAAATAGATGTTATTTATGTAGTTTTCAAGATCACAAAAGGACTCCCAGATATGATTAGGAACTTGGCGTGATT